GCTTCAGCGAGGCGAGGAAGAGACAGACCCAGGAGCCGGGAGGAGAAGGCGGCACTTCGGCGCGGTGGCAGCACCTACCTGTGGCATGGGAGAAGTAAGTATTCTCCTTCCTCCCTCTTGCTTGCGGGTTTTGCCTGGACTTCGCTTTTTAGCCGCCGCCTGCGTGTCCCTGAGGGCACCCCGGCTCGTTCCTCACCTGATCTCACCCCTGAGGACGGCTCAAGCGCTTGATAAAAACGTGCAATGTATTGGACTTACTCATTTGCTTTTCTTTGTGGTCCTCATCACTGTGGTATCTGGCCTGTTTTTTATTTTATTTTATTTTATTTAATGGCGTTAGCATTGAGAGAGCTGTTTTACCTGCAGAGCTTCACAGGTTCTCCTAATCTCCAGCTTTCCCCCCACCCCAAGCAAAGAAAGCCCCAGCTGCTACAAAGCCACGTTTTAGTTCCCACTTGGTATCTCTGAGGCAATAAATAAAAAATATTCTTCTTGATTTGCCATGAAACGCTGGTTTGCGGCCATGGGGATGGAGCAGGGTGAGCTCTAGGAGAATTTTCCTCTCTTCCATCATGTCCCCTTGGTTGCTAAGCGGTAGTGACCACGTTCGTAGAAAGATCGAAGAAGCACACGGAGGAAAGACAGCAACAGAAAAAGCTAGGAAGACCAGCATGTTATAATCTCCAGATGCTGTATTTGCTCAGTATTTGTGTAAAAATAAACAGCTAACCCTTAAAACACTCTTACGCTACTTGTTACTTTAAACTTCTCACATCCCGTTTTCTACCCTGGATAGAGCAAGACTAGTTTAGTTAGCCGGATTAGTTTGTCATACTATACAATGGTAGTGATTTGGAAAAACACACTTAGTGCTTTTCACGTGAATGTGGTACTGCTTCTGCCTCAAAATACCTTGGTAGGAAAACGAACAAGCATTGGGAACAACCCTTACGCAAAAGTTCCTGACTGGTTTACGAAAAATCAGGCAGTGGAAAGCTTTTCGTCAAGGGATTTGATTTCTGTATGCTTTTTTCCTACTCATAAAGGTTAAGAAGATTTTCCTTTTTAACTTGAGGACTCTAGTCTTTGTTATGTTTCTCTATTATCAAAATATCTCACTATTCTGGAATATATTAAAATACATAATACTTAAATTTGAGTGGGATGCAAAAAGCAAAGTTAAGTGGTGGAACTGAAAATTAGAATTTTATCCCAGTTGAGCTTGTTTTAAAGCAAGAATACATGCACAGGCGTTAGCAATAAAAAAACCCTAATATTTCATAAGATGAATTACCCTAAGGACAGTAAATGCTGTAATGAATTACTGTATTTACCGTTTGATGTGTAGCACCACAGCACTATCAAGGTGTGAATTTTCTTAATCTTTTTGGATATGGAATGAAAGGCAGTTCTGTCACTGCTGTTTTCACGACAATAGTGGGGAAAAAAAGGCAGTCCTCTGGCTTCTAAGTGGACTGAAAATCTACATTTTATTTGAATCTGATCATCACTTCATCTTTGCTGTTATTGTTGTTTGTCAAACAGCTGTTGCAATGCAAATAGGAAGAATTCATCCTGTTCGCTGGCTGTGAGCTCTCTGCAAGAAACGCAGAGACTCCTTGGCCAGTCCTGATGAAAAAGGGTGTGTCAGGGCTGGAAGGAAAAGAGCCGTTGTGTGCATCGCACACAGCGATTCAGGGCTGTCCGAGGTGCGTGCAGGATGCTGCAAGTTTTGCCAAGGGCCAGCCTGGCCAGCAGCCAGCCCAAGTTGTTTGAGGTCATCTTCACCCACGCTCTGTTCCTGTCAATTGCGTATGTTAGGGACTCAAGAGGATAATTTCATGTAGGCTCTTGTTTTTCCTTCATTCTCACGTATTTTTAAAAAATATTTTTTTAATGATCTTGTAAAGGTATATTTAGTTGAAATTTATACTGACAGAGGTTGAGGATGAAAAAACAAGACTTGAGTAAGTTCAAGAGCTTCACAGATGCACATTTCTGTTACTTCTGAGAGACACAAAAACAAGGGTTTCCCCTTCCATTTTTTAACATAAAAACATCACTGCAAACAATGTTTGCAGCTGAAGTTTTGCAGAGAGAAGTGGAAATCAGTGAAGTGGATTGTATTGATTTTTAATTATTTGCATTTAGAGAAATGCAAAATGTAGATTAATAGCATGAGACATGAACAAATTACTGGGCTTTTAAATGGATTTTACTTAATCTAAGGTTTTACTAGCAGCAGTACAATATTGAGATGGACAATTTTCCCCTTCAATATTCTGTATTAAAACTATTTTCTTATGTTTGTGGGGAAGAGGAGGCTTTGAGGTAGTGTTGAATAGATGCTAAATACTTTGTCTCTCTTCATATAAGCAAGCTTCATTTGTATTAATATGTCCCTACTCTTAATAAGGGACATGTAACAGGTAAAGTAATAACATGTAAAAGACATTCTACCTTATTCCAGTCCAAGGAAACATTCTGTCTCTGGGATCAGACTTTTAAATGTGTATATGTGTATATCCTTATTTATTTTTTTCACTGGGACATAAAGTTTGATGCCTTATTTGGTATGCCTTTTGGGACTGCATATTTATGTACGTAGAATTCTGAACACGTGGAAAGAAGTCTGGTATACTTTAAATTAATCTTCAAAAAGAGGTTTCCGCATGAAAACTTGCTTGCTCTTGTATGAAAGAATGCCACTTGTTACCTTTGAAATAAATTATAAACTCAGTCAAGGACAAGAGTTTGTGTATCAATAATAAGCACAGATGTTACTTTCCTTAGAGAGAGATTCTCAGCACTGAGTGGTTGTACTTTTTGAAGCACTCACGTCTGAAACGTGTTGGTCTGAAACGTGTTGGTGTGTTCCTGGAGAAAATTTCTCACTGATTATCTTGTTTCTGTCATTAAGGTTTTGCCACCATTAACTTACTGATTTCCTAGAAGGAAATAAACCGCTTCTCACGTTTCTAATTTAGGTTGCATGTTCTGATGCCATTTAGTAAGTTAGGTAGAAGTAGTTCTCTTAAAATCTTGGAAGAAATCTGCTGTAAAAGTTTAGTAGTAAAGTAGAAGTTTAAAAGAAAAAATTAACCGTCTTATGTGTAATCGTTGTCTTCTCCTGAAAAAAACCTGCAAGTTTGAAAATATTTTCATATGTGACCATGTAAGTTTGATACAGTTATTTCAGCAGAAGTTCCGTCAAGTTCTCTATCAAAATTGGGCTCTTTCTTTGAAAGTCACCCCATGAAATGTTCTTGCCCGGAGGTAGGAAAACAGCCGAAATAAAAGAGAAAACAACTTTAGCTCCAGCCAGCCTCTTTAAAAATATACACTTAAAATTTTGTAACAGATATTAAATGCGAGCCCCTCATGTATCTGTGCTTTTAGTTGATCTTCTTGGCCTATTATTCTATTGACAAGATTATCGAAGTATAGATCCAGTTTGTTTTTCATTTAGCTGAAGTGGTATCTTTCTAAGAAGTTGCCAATTAGCTAATATTATGCTGAATTTGTGGACATAAACTTCTTGTTTAGAACTTCTGCGTCCTGTGCCAAGAGGCGCTAACTAGCACAGAGGCGTTAAGTGTCCCTTTATGCCTTTGCACTGTTACCTGCTTCCTACAGACAGGCTGGAGTAGGGTTTCTCTAGAAGCTTGCTTGCACCCACGGGCAGGCAGAGATGGAGCGTGATACGAGCTGATACTACTGCCCATCACATTTGCCAGTGTGGGTGGAGTATGTATAGACTGATGCCATTCATGCTCTACCCAAATTGGCAGCAGGCAGATTGTCCATAGAAGTTTTGATCTGTCTTGTAGGTACTAGTGCAAGAGTGCCAAGTCTTGCTGCCTGAGTTTCTGGAAAAGGCTAGACAAGGCCTTTATGTTTGACTTACTGTTTGGTTCTGTATCTGAAGAACTACAATTTACTGTACAGATTATCTGCATGTGGAAATGAGTGTGTAGCACAGTGAAAAGATACTATGAACAAAATCAAATAGCAAACGCAATCTTGAAAATTCACTTTCGTCTCATTTGAAGGTGCATATAATTTAATAATACTTCTATAGATACTGATTTACTTTGCTACTGTGTAATTGCCAAGGTTCTTTTTGTGACTTAAGTACGCATTTCTAAATCTTACTGAATTCATAAATGTATCTCCACATTTCCTGGATTTATAATGTGTGTTTTGGAATTATTTACTGTATCCATGGAAAGTATTTTCCCCCAATATTTTTGCTGTGTATAAGTAACTTCTGCTTCAAATAGGTGGATAGGCCGTTACAGGTTCTGCTGGGCTGCGTTCTCCCCTATCCACTGTGTTTCCTGCATTTGTTGTCTTTCCCTGTAGTAATCCTTGGCCATCTCACAGCTCAGCTTTCTTATTATAGCCCCCCATGTATCTCCCCTTCCCTTCTCACTCGTTCTCTCCTGTTGCTGCCTCCATGCTCTGTGGTGATTGCCCTCCCAGGTAAAGCAAAGTTGGGCTGGCAGTTTAACTGTGCGTGTCGGGAGAGTGATGGATGTTTCGCTGGCCTAGCAGGTAAGCAGCAGCGTTTTGCTCCTGGTGCCCAACTGGTTAATTAGTGTGCGTGTACTTACTGCTTGTCTGGCTTGCTCAATTAGCACGCACGCGCTTTATAATAATGAGAAATGTGTCTTCTGAGTGGCTGGGCAGCCAGTGTGGAAATCTGTCTGTTTTGAAGATCGGCCGCCTAGCAGGGAGCCGTGCTTCTTTGACCCAAATACATCAGTGGGTTCCCTGGTGCCTGCTGCCTTCCTTTTCCTAGCCTTGAGGGCTGTATTTGGGCAGCAAGTGGTATGTTTTGCTGTGCCTGCTCACCTTGCAGATCTTCCTCCCAGTTCTGTCTGGGAACCTTGCTTTTACAGCAAGGCTTATAGTCAAGCAGGACTTGAAAAAGCTTTTAATTTGCTATAGGTTTTTTTATTTTTTAATCTGGAATTTTTTTTTAAGTTTATTTTTCTAACTAGATAGATGGGTGAGAAAGGGAGTGTCGTTATCCAGGAGCTGAAATTACTGGATAGAGTACTTCTAATATTAGATTTTCTATGAATACATGCAGGCCAACTGAGGAAAGAGGAAGGAGAGAGTGGGGCAAAGTTCCTGTTATTTCCTGGTTGTCTGTCTTAGAGGATATAAGATAGTAGCCTGCTTGACTTTTGAAGCCTAAAGTGGGTCCTGTCACAATTGGATTCAAAATTCTTGATCAATACAGCGCGTTACTTGTGTATACACTGTGGTGAGCTCATGAAAGCTGCTTTTGCTTCTCAAGAGGTTCTGTTGGCCATGCTGTTTCCAGTTCTTTTTAGGGATTTGCATGCTGCTCTTTATTATGCATTGCAGTCGTACCCCAAAATGAACTTAGTGGTGCTAAACTTCCATTTACAAAATAAACAGCTCTATATTTTATACCACTTTTGTTAAGAAAAAGATGTTAGTTAAATCGAACACTGTAATAGGGCCTAATTTTCAGAAGTTTATTTTTCTGTTTGCAGTCTAACTTATGTCATTTTTAGAAGGATTTGCAATATTTTCCCATGTTAAAAAGAGGTTGCATCTCTTTTTATGAAGCAAAATCTCAACTTACTCTCAAGTTACTTGGTTGTGACCCAGTGTTTGATTAGTAAGATGACCCTCAATTTCAGCTGGAAAAAGATGTTTCGGAATTAGAGTGACACCTTGGAGGACTTTTAAAAATATATAATTAAGTAAAATCAATGGTAATTGCTATATTCATAGACCTTTATAATCCTAAAGACTTAAATCTATTGTACAACCTTCAAGTGATATGTTTTTATGAATATTCAGGACTCTTTGAAAGTAGAAGACACGATTTAGAGCTCTCAGGGTGTAGATAGTTGTAGTTGATATTTAATGATGTTTCAGAGATGATATTTAATGATATTTTGTAGCCATTTCTGTGGCTTAAAAAAGATTATTTAATTAATAAATTTAATAGATTAAATGACAGAAGAGTCCATTTTTCTGGAGCACAGAATAGCTGTGATCAGTTACTTGGTCTTTCTTTCCTTCACTCTCTCTCTATCTCCCAATCCATCAAGGCATATTTTGTTTTCATCTTGCTGGTTCTTTGTCCTTTCACTGGATTCAGGCTAGGTTCTTTCCCGCCGTGCATGGGTGATGTGCTTCATGGATGATGAAAAGGATTAAAATAACGAATTCCAGAGGTTTTGCTGCACTGAGAAAACATGTACCATGTTTGTCATGATGTATGCTTATTAGCAAAAGTATATGTGGACTTTTTATTTCTAATTAATCACATTATTTTTTCTGTTTGGGGATATGGTGTACTGTTCTCATGAAACACGTATGTACCAACATTTCTGAGGTGATAATCCAGAGAAGTTCAGAAGCTTGAAATGAAGTTTGGTGGGGTGCTACAAAACTCAAGTGTCTCTGTTTTTTTTATTGTAACAGGTTGATTCAGTTTGCAATTAAATCTTCAGGCACTTGCTTTCAGTGAAGTTTTTTCTGTAATCAAAACAGTACAGAAATTTCTCTAGTCTTGTGCTTTTCAACCTTTTTGTTCTGTGGATTCCAAAAATTTTCGAGAGCCTTTTAGAAGTACTGCTCTCCTAGATTGTTGTACATCTAGATTATGTTTATGTACCTTTTGCTGCATCATGCGGTACTTGTGAATTTCCTTGAAGGTGAACGTAGGGCCGCATGGATCAGTGGTCCACAAGATTTGAACCATTATCTAATAATTGCTGAGACATGCAGAGGGTGAGAGAGCTTTACTATAAATCTAAAACAATTGATTTGACAACTCTAAGATGATAAATCATAGCACTTACTTTACAATGAAACAGTAGTGCATGGATATGCTGAACAATTATCTCATCATTTTGTTAGGGGCATACATAGAGAAGTAGGGTGTTCTGTACTGGAACCAAAGTTAATCCAGTCTGGAAAGGAATCTCAAGATTTTATACTGTAATGCATTTTTTTTTTTAGTACTATTTCTTACAGCCTCTATTGTGGAATAATACCATTCCATTAGCTTTCATTGCAACAAAAAAGTAAATTTCTAGTGCTTTGTTTTGCTTTATTTTTATGGCAATGCTTGACTGTGTGTGGCAACTGAATCCCAGAGATAGGAAAAACAGAAGGCAAATAAACAGAATCAAGCCTTTATAAGCCTCAGAACAGCAACACCTATTGTTTTAAGCAAACACCATCATTTCCAGGGCCAAACTCCAAATTATGGTGTTTTGAATATTTGAGAGCAGTACTGATGTCTTTTTCTGGAGCCTTTACATTGTTTAGAACATTAATCAAGAACTCTAAAAGCTGGACAGCCGTGTCCTACAAGGACACTACTTGCTACTCTGTATTTTTTGATTGCTGGGATTCCAGTACAGCTCTGATGGAAATAATAAGTAAGGATGCTCTTCAAGTTTTTCCATTTAGAATCTGCCCCGATCAGTTAGATTGAGCATAGTGCTCCTCCCATCTCTGGTGGAATGGGTCAAAAGACACTAGCTTGCTACTTTGTAAATAATTAAAGAAATGTAGAAGATGTCCTTACAGGCAAATGAACTAGCCACAAAAACCCCTTTTTTTATTTAATGACAATGCTGCCTTTTTCATAGTTTTCCATTATGGGTATGTTTACACATAGATATCTTTTAGAAGGAGCTCAGTGTTAAATTTTGTGGGTTGAAAAACATTCTGGTAACTGATTTTCTAAGAGTTATACCTTTTTTTTTGTTTTTTTATAGTGACATTCTTCTAGTTTCTTTTGATTATTTTTTTCCTGGTTCTTTTCAAAAAATTGTAACATTCTGTTTATAGTGGTTCTTTACTCAATTTTAGTTTTAGAAAGCTGAGCATGAACTTGAAGATACTCAGAAGCTTCTTTAAGTCCATAGATCTGGGCTAAGCTGTAAAATACATGTTTTAAAGATACAGATAGAAAGAAAGATATGTACTTCTCCTTTGCTTGGAGTTCTGAGAGATTCAGGGAAGTGAGAGAAAAAGAATACAGACACAGGCTAATAGGCTATTCCCCTCTCCTGATAAGTACTTCATTAAATTATTTATTCTTTCTGTATGACTGGGGAGGAAGGAACAGGGAAGATTTTGAAGCTGAGTGTCATTGCACCGTGCTGATAAAGTACAGTGGATCTGGTGGTCTGGTATGAAACGGTTGCTTTCTTCTTGCTTAGAAAAGAAAATGGTGGTGGATTAAGTGGAAAAAATAAATCACTTTTGTAAACCAAATGGTACGCTTTGTGTAGTTTTTGTTCTTAATAGCTTTTTTCAGTGGATGTCTTGCAATTCTGTTTTAATTATGTTGTGATTGTACAATATAATCACTTTCTGCTGTGATGTAGCACTTTGGGACAAATAAGTTCTTGTTTCTAGGGAACCATGTCCTACTGCATACATATTAAGAAAAGTTGTGTGTCTACATCAAGGTAAAATAAGTCAGTCTGTATACTGAGTTACACTTTGATTTTTTTACACGGCCGTCTAAAAAGATGTATTCAATCCACTGGTGCAACAGGAAAGTGTGGGGTTGAGTTTTGGTACTTCTCATGGATTCAGCACCATTTTTTTTCTTCTACATATGAAAGTTAATAAATGTGTGTATGAATTAAGCAGTGGCAATCAATATAGGAAGCTTTAGCCAATAGTACAGTACTTTTTACTTCGTTTACAGTACAAGGTGCACGATGGCAAATGTTATGCTATTGAATGTTCTGAGATGTATGTTTGAAATTTTTGGAGATTTTCGGTGTTTTTTTTAAAGCTGTTTATAATAGAAATATTTAATTTTTACAAACATTTTAACATGACGAAAGCGTCAAGGATTTCTAATAGTTCTTTTTCATTTGGTTTCTGAATCTACCCCAGAGCTTCTATGTATACCCAACTTACTCTGTGCCCTTAGCCTTGATTAAGGGGCTGGAGGGGAGATATGGCCTCTCAAACTCTTCTCATTCATTAAAATGTTTGAATGTGAGCGTTACTGCTGACCTCTTAAATTAGGAACCTCAGCATATCTAATGTGACTGCTAGTTCTGTTTTCCACTGGAGCCTATGATGAGCAGCTGGTCTTCGCTAGGAGATCTCAGGTTTTCCTTTGAAGGTTCATTTTGAGGAGTTCTAGCTTTCGTCAAGATGTCTAAAATGTTTCATGAACAAAGAATTCCTGAATTTTCAGAATCGTGCCAAGTGCCCGGTATACTCATTCCGAAAAGTGTGAGCCACTGGATTGAAGGCAGAAGAAATTGGTGAGTCCAAGCAAGAAAATGGTTCTGTGACTTCTGAGAAGATATTCCTGGGTTGGCAAATACCTTTTCTATGTTTTTTTTTTTTCTTCTGTCAAATGGCACACTCTGAGAATGCAGTGTAAGCTGGGCAGCTTTTTAAAATGTAATCATGCAGCTGTTGCAGTTATTGTAAGTATTTTGCATTCTTCAGAATTTATCAATATCTGTGTCACTAAAATTAGTGACATAGTCTCTATGGTCTTGATCATTTAATTTTATTTGGACAGCTACGTTAGCAACACAGAGCATGTTTGGGAAAATACTAATACTACTCATAATAATATGAGTTGAAAAATTCAATTCTTTTGTATTTTTTTTTTCGTTGTCAATGACCAAAAGAGTGGATTGCAACAGAACACTGAATTTATCTTTGTGTACAGATTTTGGTGAAATCACTTTTAGAAGTTAATCCTTGTTGTTCTTCAAGAATCTTCTATGCTTAATTGATGGAAGTTCTGTTTGTCATTCCCTGTACCAGTGACATCCTTTAAATTGGACTCTGAACCATGTGAATTGGTTGTACAATTACATTCTTTGTGTTGATTCTAGTCTTATCAGTGGTAACACTTCATTAATAACTATTAGTATTTCAGTATTTTTCAACAATCCAGCGTGGTCTGTGTTTTTTGTTGCTGCCTCTTATTCAGTATCATTTGGCAATTGATATCAACCAGTTCATCCTTGACTTGCAATTCCTAAATTTAAATACAGAGGGCAAAACATTTTCAGTGGAAAGCAAATAATTATGAAATTAAATTACTACTTCAGATTTGCATTTCCTTTTTCATTCAGCAGCTCTTTGTTTACTTTTAGAGGATACTGTCTGATCTATTTATTTGTTCATCATTTTTTCCTGCAGGTGGAATGGTAGCATAAGTTTGTTTTGTTTTAGAATAACTTAATCAAAACCAGCTCATTTTGTGTTGTCTATAACTGTTGTTTATAAAAACCAAAACAGGAATATTTTTTCAAAAATGAGTAAATAAGAAAACTAAAGAAGGCGTAAGAGATGTGTTTCCAGCTGTCCCTTTGAAGTCTTCAATTGTACGGCTCATGGAAGAGACCTGTAGTTATCATCCTAGTCTCACCATGATTTTCTCTACTGCTTCAGATTCAAGCAATCTGTTTTGCAGATTTCTCTCCCAGTCCTCTTCCCTTTGAGTCTTTTACTTGTGAGGGAAAGCAATTCTGTAGTCAAATAGATCTGACTGCTAGCAAGTGTAGAGAAACCAGAGAAAACACTTCCTATCTCTTTACCTCAGCCACTGGCAAACTATTGGAAATAGCGTGAAGTAGTCACCGTGGATTACGGTTTGGGTTAAGAAAAATAATGATGTGCATGCTCTTTTGGTAAATATGGCACGAGATAAAAAAGATAGATCATCAGTGCTTCAGTTCACTCCATTATGCCCACTAATCCTCTTTAACTGCTACGATATTTGTAATCTGTTACCTTGCTCTGTGTATCTTTCTGTGTTGCTGTTAGCCTGCGTATATTTGCCGTATATAGTTTCTGCTTCAGCCAGAGGAGTTTCTTTGGAACTCTAACATATTCTGTGTTGTCGGTACCCTTCTGGCCCCTCTTGCTTTGGGGGTTTTTCTCCCCAGGAAGACAGCTACGGTGCCAAAGAGAAGGCACAATCTTACGTTAATGTTGAGATTTATGAAGGGGTGTGTTTTTTGTAAACTTACAGAAATGTGCACAGATGTATCTAAAAATCTTTAATATTATTGTGCTAAATTAATCAGATTGGTCAGCCCAGAATATGAAGATGACAGGATTAATTCATTTACTTTCAGTGTATTTTTGTAGATCATATTTGATTTTAACAGTGAAGCTGGATTTGCATCTGTGTCATCTTTTTTGTGTCTTATCAATAATAGTAAAAACACTGTCGAAAAAGGAGGAAATACCCTAAATTAAAGAAGAGTTTAATCAACATGTGCAGCTTGATCTGAATTTTTAGTAAAGCCAAGCTCTGTGTTCAACACGTTTTGATTCATTTATTGATGTAAATTCAAAATAAAAAAATAATATTTTGATATACAATGTATACAAATAGTTCTTTCAAAATTCCATCTTGCCTCATATTTTAGTTTTTCTTAAAAATTACTTGGTTTGTAGACCTGCTAATTGGTAACTAGCTTACAGGCTTGGTCTGGTGCACATTCCTGGCTGTTGGATGCCAGTTCATGTTCCTGTACGTCTGCAAATGTCTCTGCCTTGTTCAAGTGTGGAAGCTCTTTCATTTTCTCTTTCAAAAAGTTTGTCATCGATTAATTACTCAAAGGCAGCTGAAGCCGGATTGCAGTATTTTGCTGTCACTTTTATCTCAGAATTATCTGTCTAAATAGATCACCCAGGGCTAATTACCGAATATTATTCTTTTCAGGTGTTACCTAAAATCCCAGAAACTTTGAAGCTTAGGTTGTGTTAAGGCTTAAATGTTAAGCAAAAATTTGAACTGGGGAGAAACCAAGATCTTTTTACTAACATATTAGCAAACACATACTACTTTTACTTTCTTATTTCACAAATATGTCTAATTATAATTGTTTATTCAGGAATGCAGCTTATATAAGCAGAATTTATACTTCCTTAATGGGTGAGGAGGAAGAAAAAGGTTAACTGAGATTGCAATATAAAGGAGCTTTTTTATTTCTTTCAGTTGTTTTTAAGCCCCCGTGTTGTCAAGTTTCTGCAGGTATTGGTGGCAATCACTGTAATATTGCAGTAACTCGGTCATCTCCAGGTGGCACACCAGGGAAATGGGAATCTCCCATGAGTATTCATCCAGCTGCTGCAGCCTGGCTTTGCTTAGGGAACAGAGCTCTGCTTAGGGCGCTGCTTGGTGAAGAACTGAGTATGAATCTCTCAGAACTTTTCAGCTGGAAGTATATTAGCAGGACTTTTTCTTCATGTCTGCTTTGGTCTTGGCCTCTTTTCTGTGACTGCTCACTGTGGTGTCAAGTGTTACACCGTGTTTTCTCTCTTCTTCTCATGCTTGCTTGTCAATTGAGAAGTAAATATTGGACTTTGCCAATGTGGTTGACAGCCTCCAAATCTCTTGTAGCATAATAGCACTGTATTTTAGGCTGCTAAATTGAAAGGAATAATTGGTATTGAACGTTCATCTCACTTCTACGGGTTTATTCTGCTTCTGTAGTCTTTTCAAGGATGTCATGAGTAGCTACTTTTTTTTTTTTTTTAATACATACAAAAATTCAATAATATACTGCAGGTGCCAAATCATTTTTGGACCGATGGGTGAGCCTTTTCAAGGAGCATACCCTGCCATATGTCTCCACTCTGTACGCTCACAGAACTTTCCATTTTTAAGGCGTTTGCATAACGGCATATAAGTACTGACAGAATGGATTTGGGAGTACTACCTCCATATCCCTATAAACCTAGCCAGATTTTACTGATCATTGCCAGCCTATATCGATTTGCAGAAAAGCAGCTGAGCTCTGCTAGAAAATTAGGCACAAAAAGTAGACTCAAATTACACTAATGAGACCATTAAGTGAGGTATAGGGAGCCTGTCTGGCCAGAACGAGGAAATGAAAGCAGAAGTCTGGCTGTGTTGGTTTCTTTATTTTCATTATATTCTGTAGCCAGTTTTCATCTTCTATATATTTACTGGGGTTTTTGTTGTTGTTGTTTTTGCTTTTCACCCACATTCTCCTATTTCCAAAAAGAAAAAAAAATCTTACTCTTGCCCAGCATTTGAGGGAGAAAACCTAACATAGTTGCTGCGTGCAGGCTGTAAAACTCTTAACCGTTGACTATGTGTACGAAGGATTCACAAGTTCCATGAAGTACATTTGCTTGCTAAAATCTTTTATATGATACGTCTGTCCAGTTATGCTATCTCTGACCCTTTCTCTGAACTCCTTGTATCAGTACACGGAGAATCAAAATGCAAGAAAATAGTAATTTTAAAACAGCCATTAAAACACCTAGTGAATATCACATCGCTTTTATTATGGTACAGCAATGTTATGCGTAATAGCAAATAATCATCAACATTGCTTCATTATTTTCGATAAATATATTATAGGTAGAGATAAGTGCTTTGCTGTTATGGCCTAAAGGAGACAATGTTTTGAGCTTTATGTTGAATAGAAAGGGTCTGTGTACATTTTAAGAATATTTTAAGAATTATTCTTGACCATTCAAAATCCAGTGAAATATAAGTTTGGATCCTGCAGTATATTAATAACTCGTATCTTATTAGTTTTTAATCACATTTTATCTGCTTTTTTATTTCAAGAGGACTTTCTTAAAATAAAAAATCTTGCTTTTTTAAACCTCAGTTTGGGAGAGCTTAAAAGTTAATCATTCCCTTACTAATTCTTCATTTTTGTTGTTCGAGGGGGGAGAGTTGCAGCTCCATTTATTTGGGGGGGAGGGTAGTGGCTTAACGTAGCAGGAAGGTGTGTTAGCGTTGGTGGCTGATGTGAAGCACAGCAGTTAAGCAGAAGAACGCAGAGGAGTTTGATAGCAGACTAGCGCAAACTGCAGGAAATGTTTCAGGGTCAGCAATCTGGAGGGGGAGGTAGCACTGAGTGTGGATAGAGGGTGGGTAAGAGAAGCTTGCGCTTGTGCAAGGAGCAGGTTGAAATGTGGCAGGTGGAGGACTTACTAACGCACCTTGGGAGATCCTGAAGTGGAGAAAACAACAACCAAAAGGGACCTGGAACAGGCCCCTTGAACCTAGCCAATTCGTAGTCCTAAATATTACAGGTGGTACAATGTGTGTGACCTTAGCCCTATTTTGAGCTGGAGGTTAGATATCTGGCTTGCGAAGGTCCCTTCCCTAATTTTTTCTGTGATTTCTGTAGTGTTATTTTATATAACTAATTATGAATAAAATCGCAGAAGTTTATCAGAAAAGTTTATCACTTTTTCTTGTCTGGCTGCAATTGAAATAAATTTAGTCTCCTACTTTGGACAGGGCATGATGTTCTCTTTGTGGAAAAATGCAAGACCGCTTTTTCTCATAATTTTCAGGAAGTTGCTCATAATTTACAATAACATTTTCTGCCTTAGTGAAAGTGTCATCAATATAAAGATGTTGGTACAGTCATTCATAGGGATCTCAGTGCATTGACATTAATCTGTCACTAAAGATATTCAAGGTCATTTTATTTTTTTAACTCAATCTTGCGGTAAAATCATTGGAATGATGATAAAAGAAGTTTGAGCCACAAAACTTAAGCCTAAAAGATTTACAGTGAGTGTTATACCTTTGTGAGTTGAAATAAAACCATTCAGATGTTTTGCATTATCTGAGTATCAAGTATAGACTCTGGATACTTTTCATGGAGCATTGTTATGTATGACTTTTGACTCTATGTTTATGAAAGCTGAAATAATGAAAAATCCCATATGTATGGATGTGTGCAACTTCACTGCCATGCACAATGCTAATGTACTTTAAATATTGTGTGCATGTAATTTATTTATTACTCTATTAATAATACATTAATACTAAATTGTGAGATCTGGACAAAACAAACTGCAGCAGTTCTGATTAGCTGCTGAGGTAGTCTCTCTGGAAAGTGAATAAGTCTGAGAGGATATATTGTTAATACATCAGCAATGGAGTCACTGTAATAATTCCAGCACCTATCTATAGAAAGACAAAAGAAAGTCTGAACTTCTGTCCCTTCTCCCAGCCCTAAAGCCTTTAACTTGCAGTGAAAAAATCCTTTAAAAAGAGGATTATCTGCATCTTTTTATGAGAGAGAAGGAGAGGAAGGAAGAAAGAGGGAGCATGGTGGGGGAGGAGGAGGGGGGAAGGAGAGGCAGAGAGAGAAGGAGGGTGTAGAGAGGGAAGGAGGGAGGGAGTTGCATCTGAAATTGTTATTGGATTGTCTAAATCTTCGACCAAAAGCATAGTATAAATTATTTCTATAGCACATATTTCTTGTGTTTTGTACCTATGACTGATTCCAAGAATTATCCTCCTTCCTTAAAATGATAAATGACATAAAATGCAGAGAGATGCCTTCTAAAAATAGAGGCTCATCCTGGTGTATACCCTAGTGATAGAGCAGTGATGGGTGGCAGCAGTTCCGTCACAGTAGTTAAGGTTCCAGCCCAGCACCAGGAGCAGATGTGGAGGCTCAGCCATGTGCCTTCAAGAACTCTTGTCCAAATATCACACTTAATGGAATAACTAAATTGTCTGTGGCATTTTATTTCTATTCCACATGTTCAGCTCTTCCTGTGTAATGTCTTCATGCAGTGATTGGTAAGAACAACCAGTCAGTAACTTTAGATTATCTTCCAGAGTCGCAGGCTCTACAGATATTTGTGGGAGTAAAATGTATCTTTTATAAACAAAGTCAGAAAAAGCCTTATTGTCATTACCACTCAATTCTGTGGTCTCCAATAAGTTTTTAATGATTAATGGAAAAGTATATTTGGATACAAAAGGCATGGCCAGTGGTGGTGTAACTGCATAACAAGGAAAAAAATAATAGTTCATCAACAAAATAGCTTATTTAAGACCCATAGATCCTACAGCTTATTTAAAACTTGTACATCATTTTTGATGTAGTGATGCTGCTGGGCTTTAGTACATCTTACATCATCTTACAGGTAGTAACTTGAAATGCCCTTTTGGTTAAGGAGTAAATGCAGATATTTGAGATAATTTTACCTCCTTTCATTCTTTGCAATGTAGTATTGCTGACATGATGTTGATATGCATGATGTAATTTCTCCTCCTAAGTTTACTTAATGTTGAGCACTTCCCTCTCAGGGAACAGTCATTTAGAAGTTCAAGTTACTTAAAATTTCAGGTGGATCATTTATTTGTTTAGAAAGATAATTTGTTCCTTGCTTGCTTGCACATAAATATGAAGGTCCAAGTGCTGGAGGTAAGAAGTTCTGCTTTCCTTTTTGTGAAGGAAAGCAGAGTGTTGGTAATTTAAAGAGGTTACCTATTTCAGGGAAATAATAATCTCCAGTGGGAAGTCATAAACCTCTTGTGTAATAATAATTGTGTAGATACAGAGATCGTTAAATTTGTTTCGGGCACAGCACCTTTTTGCTCTGAGACGAGAAAATTCTTCTTTGTAGAAGTGTGTAGAAATTTCGATATGTAGAAAGAGATGCACTTTCCTTTTCTCTAAACTGTTTAAAATAATACAGGTGATTACAAAGTCAAGATATCTAATTAGAAAGCTAGGGAAGTACGCATTTTTCTTACGGATTTTTAATAATAAATCATCTGCAACAGGAATAAATCAAAATGACAGTTAAGTCCTGTTGTTAATAAAGCGGAAGTAAGCTCTTTTTTAAAAAAATTGATGAAGGTAGTAGTGGCATAAAGTTTGAGAACAGTTCATCAGTTTTCCCGTGTGTGACTATCGTTATTTCAAACATAGTGCAAGTGGAATTTTTAAAAGTGTCTTTTTGACTCTAATCCTATAGAAATCTGTAGTGTAGTTCAGATTATGTTAATCTGAAACAGATTCAGTTCAGTGCTGAGTTCTCTTGTTCTTGCCTTCTAGGACTTAAAAGAAAGTTATGGTTCCAGGTTGAGAACAAGGAAATTTTGGTCTGACTCTGAAGACAACTGTGGACTTCTCAGATGAATAAACTTTAAGTCATTGAATTTGTCAGTGCAGTTCTTTACCCATTGGGAAAAATCAAAGATACAGTACTTAATGAAACTTGTTGTCGTCTATGGATGTTAAAGGCAGCAATTAATATCTGCAGAATGATTTTGAGATCTTTTCCGACAGAGCAAAAGCAAAGCGTTACTCAGAAATCAGAGGACATAGTACTCTAATAGAGATTAGAGTACTCTGTCTGCTTTATTTCACTTGCTGGTAGTTCATCGTTTTTATGGTCTGTGCAAAACAGTCCGATCAGTGATGACTGCCAGTTGTTCATTGATACACTTCCCCAGAATTAAAGCGCTCAAGAAAATGGCAGTTTTTCAGAACTGTGTGTTTCCTGAGCCGGTTGTCTCTGGGTGCAATAGAACACTGGCCTTCTCTGTGTGACTGTTGTTAAAGATATTTAATTTATTGTAAGATTGACTGATGCCAAGACACTTCAGATGCTCAGCTTTTTTCCAGACAGTTTTTGGAATTGGCCTGTGACCTATTCATCAGTGTTTCAGTCTTAAACAGACTGTTTTTAGTCCATCTCTTCTATTCACAGCTCTGTAAATTAAAAATTGGAACATCCTCCTTCAATGTAGTCTTGGACGTAAGACTGATAGAGTAGCTGTGCTATTTTTCTTAAGCTTACTTTACACAAAATAATTGTGACAAAAGAACTCTGACTACACTGCCATTTACACACACGTTTAAAACTATATCTTGTTTTTTGAACTCACTGTGAATACCTTAAGCATGAATATATTTAACATAGAGAAGTGGCAAGACTGTACTTTATCAATGAGGTTTCTAGCAACAGCACATAGGTGTTAGGCCAAATGTTATAAATGTTGTCTCCATGTCTATTTTTATTTTACAGGCAACTTTTCATTGCATACATGAACAAACGTCTCTTCACTTAACTGTTCTTCTCCAAGCATGTCACATAAAATGTTAAAGGGTTATATATGCAACTGTGACACACTGCAAATTCAGTTTTCATAAAAGTTACCATTCTCCCATTAATTGGGGAAAAAATGTTGTTATTATCTCCAAGCTTGTAATTGCCAAGTATAGTTTATTTGTAAATGCTTGCTCTTGGTAATAAAGACCGGGAGACTTTAACAGTTTTAAACATAGTTAAGTTTTTTTTTCTTCTTTTTTTAAATCTCCTTCATATTAACATATGGAAGCTGTAAGTGGCTTTGAATAAAAGTAATTTAACGTTAGTCGTGTAACATAACACTGTATACAATTATGCTTATTCTGCTGTGCTAGAGAGCAGAGTAGCTGAGCACCCTCCAATAAATGATCCATTAAGCAAGGAGGTTCTGCATCAGTTTTAGATATTACATTAAAAGCTGCACTTCTCATATTTATGCTAAATAAAAATTCTTGATTTAAGAACTTGGACCAAATTCTGGGTCTTTGATTGTTGTAATGTGGCATTTGTCAGATACTAAATGAACTTGTGAACTTGAAAGAAACGTTTTCCAGTCTGCAGTAATCTAATTTCTGGATTTCTTTGTACATGTATGTGAAAATAAACTCCCATTCTGTGAATGAGAGTCCTGCTAAGGGCTACACAGCTTTGTCTGTGTCCCGTTTGAAAAAAATATGCTCATCTTTCATTTACCTCTTTATACCTCAAGAAAAGAACGATTATCCCAAAGAAAGATTTTTTTTTTTAAAAGCGAAACTATTTTTACCCATTTTAGTATTGCATTATCTAAGAAAAGTGAAGAAGAAAACAGAAGGTATTTCCTTAAATTTTCTTAATTTTTAGAATATTACTATATTCCAAGTAATATAAGTTGTTTATCTGTTTTGTGAAGTTATTAATAATCTGCTAGCCATTAACAACTTTTCACAACTGGACATTTCATTGACATCAGTTCCTTTGCACAGAATCTACCTTTTTTAAGTTTGAAGTTAAGAAACAAGAATCAAGAGCATGATGTCTACTACTTCAGTGGCATCACTCATCGTCCTGAGACTGATGGCAGCAAAACAGAATGTTGTTAAAGAGTTTGTCACGTGCGTTCTCTATTTGTAGTGGTGATGGTATGACTGTGGTGTTTAAGAATTTCTTAGATGTTTTGATTTTATGTAGACAGAACATTTTAAGGCAGTACTTCTGTATATTGTGACAATTCTTTTCTTCACAGTTTCATTTTAAGGATATGTGCTTTTTTTTTTTTTTTCCAGCTTGCATTTGTTCTGTGGAGGTGAAATCTGAGCCAGAGAGCTTCTGAAAATTTAATCTAAACGCATTGTAGTGCTCTGTTCTTTTCTGTAAGTGTTATTTATTGACTTCTTGGAATCATTGCAGCAAGTCTGTGATGTAAGAGAAATCTGTGCTCTAAAAATTAACTTGCAGCATTGCTACTGCAGTTCTTTTGTTGCATATTAACAGTCATATGCTGTCAGTAAGGCTAAAGTAAATAGTTTTGAAAATCTTAATTTTTATTGGAATTTTGTCTTTTTAAAAACATATCTTTATTCTTTCCCTTCAGTTTATGTGCTTAAAGAAACAGGCAAACAAAGCCACTCACCAACCTGATGAACTTTTTTCCCAGTCTCTTCTTAAACATCCTGCTAAAGCAGCCGTTTACGTTTTCTTAAACTTTATTTTCTCTCTGTTGTATGAGAGTAAAAGCTTTTCTCACTGTGTTTTCACTACCTTTTGGTGGTACAACTTGTAGGATTTAAGTGCTACAAGATCAACTCCATGTTGTTTCTGGACTACTTCACAAAATATGTTTTGGGTTATAATTTGGGGAATGTGGCAGTTATGTCCTGAAGACTTCATATAGCTAAAGCAAGTTTAATTAGAATACTAAGTTTTGTAATTGAAAAGAACAATTGTTTAGTGAGTATTCAGATTGAAAAAAAATAAATAGTTATGTCCGATGTGATAGTTGCCTTTCCTTCATACTGTCATTCAGCTAATGAAAACAGGAAAGAAAACAGTGCGCAAGTACCATGATTATTTGAAAACTTAATTCTCAAATACATGAAAAGGGTATTGTTTCATAGCTTAATCTCTGAGCAGCTACAGTATACTATCATACAGCATCCCTGGAGATACTAATTACGTTTTTGTTTGCATTTATCTATGAAGCATCTAAACAAGGAGGTAGATACACACTCATTTAAATGCACAGATGAATATAGTGCTTAAAAGCTTTGACATCTACTCTTAGCAAAATGGCAGATTGCTATTTGCATGTTAAAAATGGTGTCTTTGCCATGAATTAATACAGAAAATTAATACAAAATGATGAAGCAAAAGGTCATAATGTAATTATCTTGATGTCATCATCTTTTGTTTCGTAAAAGAAAAATCATGTTCTGGAGTAAAGGTCACCCAGCACATATTATCATTGCTTTGTGCTGGAAACTATATCACATCTTTCTTGCCATAAATTGATTTAATGACACTTCATAAATATAGCAGCAAACTGAAGGAGGAATCTTGAAAACTGATGAGGGAATAGAAAACCACACCTGAAAATGAAACTTTGCAAGACTAAACGCCAGGATTTACAACAGCAAATCTCATCCATTAAAAAAAACATATACACACAAACTGTTAAAGTAAATTTCAATGGCTCGTACTACATTTGGCATAAAGAAGAGATTCAAAGAAATAATTTAGCCAGCAAATGGAAATTGAAAGGAGATGTGAATTCTAGCTATAAATACATGAAAGGAGTAAGTGCCAGTGACGGGCAGGCTATTTAACTGAAGAATCACCTTGGTGTAGGAACAAATTTGATATAGGCTTGTCATTAGATTCTGAAAGGAATTAACGGTTTGAAGAAGCTTAAATTAGAGTTACTATCCAGGGACTCGAGTACATCATTCATTAGGACCTATCTGGAACAAGGGTCTTCAAAATTTGGAGAGATATTTCCGTTGTGTGGAAAGAAGTCAAAATAGTCATCCATGTGAATGACTGGAATAGCACACTTGCTAGAATAATAGTGTATATATGTCATATTTCTGTCAATGCAAATCATATGATTTTCACTGGTTTCATTGCATTGCTAATGATTAAAGGGCTTTAGAGTTTTGCATTTGCTGATATACTGGCTCTCTTCAAGATTTTCTTGTTTGATACATCGGTGATTGGATTCCTTGTCTGTTAGCTCTAGGTTTCTGGGATTTGTGCTTGATGAATACGTTTTCTAACATTAAGGAAAGAGGCAGATCAGTCTGCATAAGTAGTCACAGATTCTTTTCTAAAAATGAAGTTATGTTAGAGATTTTTTTTTTTTAAGATCCACTGTAGCTTTTTAACATCTTTCTTTCCTACAATATTGATAGTCTTCAGAAGTCTTCTAAGTATTGCTGTGAATGTGTTCATTGAATTCAAGTGATGTACTGAACTGAAAATAACTATTTTGGAATAACTTTATTTGGAAAAGATGAAGGTCGTGTAACAAGAGTTACGTATAAGAAATGGAATCATTAGAAACGCACAGAGTTCTGTCTGTCTTCAGTAGGCGTATGTTGAGGTAGTCTTTAAAATAGTTTTCAGGAACAAACTATAAAGAAACAACTTGTAAATGAAGGACGGGCCAAAATCTTTTGATTAGGATGAGTTGTCCCAGTTAGTCATATTGCATTGCCATGATCTTCTGCTGAGAAATGTTAGGGATGAAATGTGCCATAGGTCTAATTTATTCAGACTCAGAGCAATTAATAATTCAAAAATGTTTTAGTTCTCATTGACGTTCAGGATTATTAATGGGCAAATACTGTATGTGCTATTAGCATTTACACAGGAAATTTTGGGGGAGGAGAAGGAAGAATTCTAGATTTTTTAATTGTTGATTAGCAGCAGATGCTTTCTAGATTAACCCCTTTTTCTAAGAACTTTCTGGATTTGTATTATAGGCAACCGCTTGTTTAGCAGACAGTCACAGCATAATAGTTTTGATAGTAGTAGGGGTAAAAACAGCCTCTTTTCTGTAGAAGCTGTAACAGAGTGAAACGCAGAGGGCTGCATGACTGAGTAATAACAGTGCTGTAATGAGTAATATAAGTTTTATCTCGTTAATCAGTTTTATGTCCCTGAAAAAAGCCATATTATTTTATAAGCACAGACACAAGAAAAGAGCATAGCAAGTAACGTATATGTAGGTTTGTTGATGATTTCATCAAATTTGGTCATTTGCTGAATTGAGTTTCAGTGTTCGTTGTCACCAGACCGTCATTGTAGCAGCTTCTTATTTTTGATTAATTTTTGTATGCATAGGAACTTATACTGACTGTTGAGATTTACAGCTGTAAACTGAGATTTACAGCTTCTTCAGGAAGCTGAAAATTGTATCCAGGTTTATTTAAATAGCACTCTGAAATGTACCATATTAATTGCCAGTAAGACATAAGAACACTGCAAATAGTACTGCAAAAATTCATCATTGCATTAGGGGATATGTATTTGCTCCAAAATGTTACAGAGTTTATATATTTGCAGTACTTCATAAAAGCAATGAGTAGGAAATATGGTCACTGAACTGTAGCTCAAGATTTGTTTAGCAGATGTGGGTTTTTTCCAAGCAAAGGTTGTGATCAAGACTGCTATAGTAAATCATTAATTGAACAGATTCCTGTTATGTGTTGGAAAAAAACATTTTTCTGTTTTATATTTACACTGAGGGATGTTCCGCAGTCATTAGCTCTGGTGCCTCTAGAGAGAAATGTGGGAGTTCATGTCAGCCCTAAGGATACCACTTAAGCACTACTGAATAAACCATATCAACAATCAGCAGAAAGATTGGTTTTCATTCTGATAACATCTATAACTCAGAGGAGCTGCTATGACGCCATAGTGGTATTTGGCAAAATGAGTAGTCCTGTACTTCTAATTTTATGGATTACAGACTTCTAAAGAGTAGGTTTAGCCTAAATACGCACACAGGCATAACAGATTAGTGACATTTTTTGAGTACGCATTTAATAAAAAGCAGTTTCTGCAGGCATCATATTCATCACATGCTGAGACTAGTTTTATTTCATAAAGTTGAATAGAAAACAACTTTACAAGTTCTGTAAAGTCTTTCTCCAAGTGATGAAAACATCCCCAAAAGACTAGCTGAAGGTTATGGTAGACTGCTCACCTATCTTCAGAGGGTCCTCCCTTTCTTTTTCTTAAATTGTTAGTTTCTGGCTGTTTTGTTTCTGAAGAAAGTCATCAAAACGGAACATTGCATAAATAGTTCTTAGACTTCCACGTATGCCCTGACTTGTTGGTGGGCATGGTGGACTGCTCCGTGTTGTGTAGATGTGCTCAAAGCACAGAAGGCAGCGTGACTCTACCAGGGCACAGCACCTTACGTGCAGCGCCTGTTTTCATTTGATTTTAAGACAGAGGTTGTCATAATGGCTGTAGATTTTGCTGTCTTGTATCTTTAGCCTCTTCAGAGCTTATGCAGCTATCTGACCATTTCAGATGATAACTGTGTTTCTATAACTAACTGCTGATGTGTAGCTGTTATGTAAATACATAGTATTAACTGTAACCTTACATCACTCAATACAGAAATGGTAGTCAGGATATGCCACAACACATACAACACTGGCTAATATATAGGAAGTTTTTTTGGGGAAAAAAATCCCTACCACTTATCTTAATGTTGCTACCACCTTGATGAAGGCAGAGGTCCTTGCTAGTAAGAATTTTCCTTGGTATAAAAAAAAAAAATTAAATTTACATAGCTATGTACACTGGGGAAATCCTTGCGAATTTGCAACAATCAGAGAGCAGCAGATTAAAAAAAAGAAAAACTACGCACCTCCCCCAGTTTTTTATTTCCAAAAATCAGAGTTATAAGCTAAATAAATGAACTAAGGGTACCATGTAGTAACAATTACATTGCTTTCCTCTAGCTTTTATGTAAAAATGGAACGTAGGAAAAGGAGCTCTCTCCCTTTTTTCCTGGTGCATTGTTGCCTAGCTGTTTGAAGCCACAGACATCACCTGGCTTCTGAGGCAAAAGTATCTTTTAGGACACAGCTAGTTCTAAATCAAAGCATTGCTGGACTGACCTGATACTTCAGTCTAACTGTGGCTATGGATTTGAGAAGGTCTTCGTAGGATCTTCAGGGTTTGCTAGAGAAGTGGAAATGATTAAGGACTTCTGCTTGAGAATGATGAATCTTTTTAAGCTGGCATGGGTGAATTTCTCCATTATTGAATAAATACAGGAAGACTTAGCATTCTTGGGCTTCTGTTCCAGAGAAAAATCATTTCCATTTTTTCCTAAAATGATTTGTGGCTGACATGAACAATGTCTGTTTTTCTGTATCTATCCATTAGGAAATTTCTCATCTCTTTATGACCTCCTTTTTTTTTTTTTTTTTTTTTTTAAATCTCTTACCATCCTCAAGTGTATTAGTGCATTTACTAAGGACTTGAAAGCTGTTGTATCTCAGCTGGGATTAGAAGTATGTTTATACCTTGACTGGCTGTTTTTGAGGAAAAGATGGCTTGTGTAATGATTGGTTCAATATCAGCGAGAATTTACTTTCTACAGGAAAGTTCTAAAAAACAGAAAATCCTTTCAACTCCCTTTAAGTTGATCTTAAAGGCATATGTCTCCAGAAATGTTGAGGTGTACATTAAGGCATATACCTCCTAGACAGAAATGCCTTAGTGTACGCCTCAACGTTTCTGGGTTTCGTTGTGTCATGCAGTAATTAATATTGGAGATATCATTTACCTACTAAACTTAAAACTTACACTTACATGCAACTTACTTGTCATAAATCCTTTTTTTTTTTTCCAGCACACCTCTACTATTGAGCTATTGTCATAAAAAACAAAATACAACAACAACAACAACCCTTTATCTTTAGCATGGTAACTGTCACATCCTGGAGAGAATATGCTCAGTCTGTGATGTTTTTGGTGACAGAAGACAGTAGCAAATGAAGCAACTCATTTAGATCAGTTTCAGACTTTTTCCTCTCAGGAATCCTGGTCAGCACCCTGACTAATATTTAGAATATTTCTTAAATTTCTCTTAAAGTATTGACAAAGGCTACAACACTTACCAGTGTCAGCAAGTGACATTCCGTTTTCTCTTATTGTCCTTGTTTCCTGAATTGGTTTGTCCTGAAGACATTGCACTGCGCTCTCACTTTAGAAAAGAGAAGCCTGGGAAGAAGTGATCTATTGAAACTTATCAATTGTTTATTTTAATTTCATTAATTTATTATGTGCAGATTCTATGGAAAAAAAATCTGACCTCAGAGAGAGTGCTGTAACTTTGGGGAGAGTACACTTTGTTTTTTGTACAAATCTAAAATACTTCATCTATGACAACTTCCTTAATTATGGAGCACGCACCACCAAATTTACAACTGAAAATCAGGAAGGAGTAAGTCAGGAAACTCAAAAAGAGGAAGCCTGTTTGCTTTCTGCTTGTGCAGCTAGCTTTAAATGTGGTATGTTTTTATCTAATACCTGTCTTAAGAGGAAATTTTAAACACCAGTCAAGCGAGTGTAGTGTAAGCCACCAGATGGAGTCGTGTTACCGTCAGAAGTGGTTAGGCGTGGTAGGAAAGGTGTGTCTTACGTTTTTTCTTTTTCCTTTTGTAATATAAGTTGCAGGTTTTTTGGAGGTACAGGCCCAGCTTTTAAAATAAATCTATATGTTACAACTAGTAACCATTGATTGCAGTAGATAGCTGTGTTAAAGAACAGCACCAAATTACGTTTATACTTCTTGCTTTTTTATAATAAGATGTGTTTTAGAATTCATGTTTGGGCTAGGGAAAATGAAAATGTTTTTCTTTGCTTCTTGTTGCGATGTTTGTATTATCCTGAGTTGACAATAAACGCTACACAAATTTGACAATACTTCTTGTCCTTTCACGTTTTTCTGTACATCATAATCTGTATCTATTTGCCATATTGTTTCTTTGGTAAAGCTAAGGTAGCTAATTTTGTATGAAGCGTTTGACAACTAATTCAAAAACTTCTCAGTACAGTGCTTTATGACTAGGACAGAGGCAGATGATGCTCGGTTTGAACCTGTACCTGTAGCTGACCTCTTGGTTTGAAAATAAATGACATCTATGCCAAAAGCAATGTATTTAGGGAATTTCTTGTTGCTGTTGCACTCTCTTGATTACCTAATTCTTGTTTGTTTGTTTTTTTCTCATGTTCTTTTAGGATCTTCTTACACAAGCACCTAAAAGCATTTAAAATTTGCAGAATGAAAAGATGGCACAGGCAGTGCTGGTACCACCTGGACCTGACAGCTTCTTCTATTTCACCAAAGAGTCTCTTGCAGCTATTGAAAAACATATTGCTGATGAAAAGTCTAACTGTGACAAAGACGAGCAGAAGGAAGAAGGCGGTCATGAGGAAGATCATCCAAAGCCAAGTAATGATTTGGAGGCAGGAAAGACACTGCCATTTATTTATGGTGATATTCCTCAAGAAATGGTGTCTGAGCCTCTGGAGGATCTGGATCCATATTATATCAATAAAAAAGTGAGTTTTTATTAGAACTGTAAATAAAATACTCCCGTTGAACTATAAAGTCGTAAACGCTACCTAGCGTGGAGATAGTCAGCAGCCCTAGTGAAAGTTTTATACAGTCTGCGATATCATGTCAACTGATCATTTTGAATACAATAAAAATGTGACTGTAACTCTTAAGTTGCTTTTCTTTTAAGGTCTAAGGCTTCATTATGATGATGCTTTGAGTTAGTGTATTTTGCATTAGATGTCATTTAATTAGATGTTGAAGTATTCAACTTCCTCTCTCTTTGGCTTCTCTGTTCCTGGAGATTCTAGGAAACATAGCCGTTACCTGAGATATAGGCTAGTAAGAAGTTGTAATTGAGCATTTCTAATGAAATATGTGTCTTTTTTCAAGAATTAAATTGTTAAACATTAGAAGAATTCTTGCATTATTGTTAAGTCTGGCAGCAGATTTTCTTTGGACAAAGTGCTAATGCGTTGTCGTCTGTCAAAATGAACTACTGTCAAACATTCCTTGAAACTTCACAAAAATGTTTCTTCTACAAAAAATTAAACTGTGATTGACTTTGAGGTGGACAGAAAAATGTGATTGTTAGTGCTCACTGCCAGCTTCATGCGAGGTCATTTCTGTTAATTGGTAACAGCTTGTGTCACTTACAGGCCTGAGTTCCTTATGCTAGATTTTGCTTCACGACCACTGCACCAGTTCTGAGTGTGGTAGGGAGGACTTAATTTTCTGGCCAGCTATGTTTTTCCTGATGATTTTGACACCAGTTTACCAGCAAGTAACTTTTCCCTCAGAGGGACGTGAGGGCAGTACACTACGAGGGCAGTTTGAGGTTATATGCCCTCAATGAAAGGGTATTACAGTGGAAGGACTTTGCAGTTGCTGTACCATTCCTCTTAGAATCACTTCACATCTGTACGGATGCAAAGTTTTTCCAAAGATTATATATAAATGCTGTTTGTTTGTTTGATGTAAAACAAGATTTGTGGTTAAGAGTGTGAGTCCCTCGAAACCATATAAAAATAACGTATTCTTGTGGGTAGCTCCACATACATTTTTTCCATGGCACTGTCTTTGTGTGTAAAGACTAAGACTCTGCACTTCCAGTGTTTCGGTATTGTTATAGGTCCGTCTGATATGTGAAGATGAAATTTAAATTTATATACTATATATATACATATATATATAGAGTAATGTACATGCGTGTCTCTATGCTTAGCTCAGAGTTTCTTCTATAGATACGATGATAAAACAAGGAGAAAAGAGCAACGGTGATGACTTCAACAAGTACAGATCTTAGATGAAGAGAGGATAATGCTGTTATATGGGGTTGAGAATTGAAAAGCTGTTCAGAATCAAAGCAAAACTGAATTTACTTTTAAAAGGCCCTATAAAATAAAATAAGTAACAAATGCTCATTTTATTGTGTAAATTGCTAAAATGCTTGTTTGAATTAAAAACACGGAACAGGTTCTTGAAGTGAAGTACTGCTCCAGTGGATAGTCAACAGATTCATATCTTATATCTAAATAAATGACCAAATAGCTATATTATCTGTGTAAGAAGCTACTTAGTGGAAGCAGTTCTTTTAGCACTGAATGTTGAAAACTAATAAATAGCCTTAGTGAGGTTTTTGTTGTCTCAACACCATGAACTATACTGTCAAATGATCTGTTTCTTTTACAATAACGTATTAGAAGGATTCAGTGTTAAAACCTGCCTATTTCCAAACAACTTTTTTTTTTTTTTTAAGGAGAATAATCATAAAAAAACAGATCGAACTAAGATTTCATTAGATCACTGTTTGAATGCGTCTCTTAGTCCAAATCAAAAACGGTTGTTTAAATGGTACTAGTAATAATCTTACTGTAATGTTAGGTCGACAGTGAGGCCTTCAGAAAGCCAGGATAACTCTTGTCATAAGCAGTTTTAAAGTGCTGAAAGGGTTAAACACTTACTGTTGTGAGAACGGTAACCATCCAGAAATGAGTAACTAGATGCTCTTGTTTTGCACAGCCAAATTTGATCTAAAGTGTAAATAATATGACTAGGTTCATTTTTTCATGTTTAAAAAGCACCAGTCTTGAATTGTTTGTTTGTTTGTTTGTTTTCATAATTGCGTAATTCTAGAAAATGTTGAAATGCAGATTTGGTTTAAGAGCGCGGAGTCAGGAGCCGTAAGGTTTTCATTGCTCATATCAAAATTTAGAGCCTAATGTTTGCTTGCAGAGTTCTTCTGAAAATAAATGGGATAGCTTAGATCTGTGACAAGTGGAGTCTCTCTTTATTTATGGGAAGATTTATGGGAAGATCTTGAATTTTCTAATCTTTTCCTTTTTCTTTTCTTTTTCAAAGACATTTATAGTATTGAATAAAGGGAGGACAATCTTCAGGTTCAGTGCCACATCTGCCTTGTACCTTTTATCTCCTTTCAATGTTCTTAGAAGACTAGCTATTAAGATTTTGGTTCATTCATATCCTTTTCAAGTGATTTGTTAAAAGTTATTACTGGTCTTTTTAAATATTTAATAACACTGAATTGTTTGTTTTAGTGTTTAGTGTTCCTGCCCTTAATTCTTTTTCTCAAAATGAATTGGAGCTAAAATTCATTGCTTTAACCCACGGATTAAATTCAGAGGAAGAGATGCACAACAAGTATACTTCAGTTACAGTATTGTTACAGCCATTGTTATTAACATGAAACATCTTTGCATTGTTTATGACATTATTAATGCTATTAAAAGGATTTGTATCATGCCTGTTGTCACTATTCTATAGCCTGGAAAGTTCCCCGTGTTTTCCGTGGCAAAAATTCAGCATAAAAAAGAGTGCATTCCTTAACTGCAGTCAACGTTATTCAGCATGCTCATTATGCTCACTATTTTGACAAACTGTGTCTTTATGACATGGAGTAACCTTCCAGACTGGACAAAGAGCGTAGAGTAAGTATACTTAAATGAAAAAAAAAAAAAAAACTAAACCAAATCTTCATTAGCTAATTATTTTTAAAGGGCTTTAAAAATGGGCTTTAAAGGGCTTTAAATTAAGAGCCAAACCACATAGTTTTATTTATTGTTATGTACAAAACTAGTATTCTGCTTTTTCTAACCTGTCGTTTAGTCCTGGCTGCAACTCAAACCACAAGGCCTGCAGATTCTGTGAAAGAAAGAAGCTGTGATACTGTTAACATTTTGCTTGAACAAAACTCTAGTTATTGTTTGTAGTCAGAATGTTTGTACTTGGAATGGTTTTATAGTCTCCCTCTTGAGGTGTTCCTGCAGCATTTTTATTTTACTTATATAAAAGAAGAAAGAAAAGACGACAGAAAGATGGAAAGGGAATATCTATTTAAACTAAAAATACCGCTTTTCAGTGTGGGAAGGCTTTTTACAGCCACTATTTAACACCCTCATTTTCTTTAACAAAATCTGAAAGTGGAAAAGCCGGCCTCTTTAAAGAAAATACGTCTGCTGACTCAGCATTAGTGTTTGACGCTCTCAAGTCTGTATGGTCAGCTGTCAAGGAACTGTAGTAAATACTAAGTTTCGCTTAGCCACGTGTGGATTTTATTTCTTTAATGCTGACCATGCAGAAATTTTTATTCAAGCAAAAATACTTTCTTCTTGTTAGTCATGGTTATTACTATTTGTACAGAGTTGAAGTTTCAACGTTTTATATGCCAGAAACTGCAAAAATATGTTTCAATTACAAAATTCTGTAATTATGCAGAAGAGTGGTGGGAAAAGCAATCATGTTTTATGTGATTTTGTAAGTGCCATTACAGTCCATGTAATAATTACTGATTTTGAGTACTTCTCCTTTATGACTGTGATGTTGTACCACTGAATGATATTCTTAAACTTTTGGTTGGATTATTTCTTCTAGGTATACTTTCACTGGAATTTATACTTTTGAATTTCTGGTAAAAGTCCTTGCAAGAGGCTTCTGTATAGATGATTTCACTTTCCTTCGTGACCCCTGGAACTGGCTTGATTTTGTTGTCATTTCCTTTGCGTAAGTATATAACTTCTCTTTAAATTGAAGTATCACAATTTTTTTGAACATATGATAATTTGTTTGAGTCATCGTAGCTCACTTAAAATGAGTTGTAATCAAAATGTATTTCAGCCTTTCCTGTTTTAATATTTTACAGTGATGTAACATACAGCAGAATTGGTATACCACCCCACAGTACGAAAAGAGAAGTCACTGCTAAACAGTTTAATAGTATTTAAACAATAAAATCGGGGTAATCCATTTCATTTTTCATTTGCATTCAATGGAAATACTTAAGTGTATGTTTCTTAGGGAAAACTTCAATGGAAGTTAAAGGAAAATATGAGTGTAAGTCTTCCATTTAAAGTTACCCCTTCCAAAAAAAGTCTGGATTACAGGTCCAGGTAAGTAGTGTACACTGTGCCTTAATTCTGAATAGCTGTGATTTAATCCTACAGGTATATAACAGAATTTGTAAGCCTAGGCAATGTTTCAGCTCTTCGAACTTTCAGAGTATTGAGAGCTTTGAAAACTATTTCTGTAATCCCAGGTAAGAAGTAAATGTGTAAAATGGTAGGCCCTCTGCGTCACCTCTGTTTAATTTTGTGTGTGCTGTCATTGTGTTTGTGTGTGGAATCCCTTACTACAGATATCTGACAGAGTTTGTGGACCTGGGCAATGTCTCAGCGTTGAGAACATTCAGAGTTCTCCGAGCTTTGAAAACAATATCAGTCATTCCAGGTGAGAGCCAGGTTAAACACTGAGGCTGACTGAAATTCCACAGAAGCTGAATTCGTGTTTTTGACATAAGTATCCAGATGTTAGTCTTAAGATTCCTGTTTTTTCTAATACTTTAAAACACTCAGCCTCAGAGCTTAATTCATTCTTGCATGATAAACTGAATGATATAGTCTGCCTATATTTCCATTTCATGATGTCAAATGTTCTCTCTTTCACAGTAAGAATCAAAATTAATTATTTTTTCATTTTTCTTGTACTAATATGACTATTACCATTTATTGAAGGCATTTAGGGTTGAAAATTTCAATCTGTTTTAAAGCTGATTCTCTCATAAAGATGAAGGAATAAGATAATAAAGCATAGCATGGAATTGCATGATGTATTTATTATCTTAAGATGCCCATCTTCACCAAACCACCTCCAGCTGAACAGGGTGCATTAGAATGCACCCACTGAAACTACTATAATGCAATTGTATTTTATTTTTATTTACTGTTATAGAACCAGTATTTTGTGTTTTGGAAAAGGACACTGGTAAGGGTTTGGAGCAAGAGGCATCAAGAAGAAAATTAAAACTGGAGCAGTGTTTCTTTACATGGAGTTGACATGTACAGAGAGCATGAATCAAAGCATTACTTGTTGATTTGAAGAGCAAGTGCTTTGGAATGTGTGCCATTCATTCCCATTCATAGTTTCAAATTAATTTCCCATGAACTATGAGACTTATTGTACCTTTTTCCTTTGAAAAATATTTTAAGACTATTTTATGAAGCTGTGCATGATCTTTAATAGTGTCTTGAAGTAACTCACATTCTAGCTTAGGGAGATGTTTAATATTATAGTAAAAATCTGCTTTTGTTTGCAGGCTTGAAGACTATTGTGGGAGCCCTGATTCAGTCTGTGAAGAAGCTCTCAGATGTCATGATCCTGACTGTGTTTTGCCTGAGTGTATTTGCACTAATAGGGCTGCAGCTGTTTATGGGCAACTTGAAGAATAAGTGTTTGTTGTGGCCATCCAAAAATTCGTCGTCTTTTGAAAAATACTTAGCTCCATACTTTAATGATACAGTGTTTGATTGGGCAGCATACATTGAGGATGAAAGTAAGAAGTGCTACTATAACTTGCTAAAATGCGTCTAAACACACACGCGTGTGTATGTTAGATTACCATTAGATTACCATTTTATAGGACAAATCAGACTGCTAGAGCCTTAGGATAAAAAGTAAATAGGATCACAGAGAAGGGATTTTCATATATTGCACCCTGAATTCATGCTGATATTATTTTCTTTCTGGTAACTGCAGTTTGTAACACATTTATAGGTTTAGGCTAGCTTTCACATCATAGAAAGGACCTCCAGAGATCGTCTAGTCCAACTGTGTCACAAAAGCAGGTCCAACTAGAGCAGGTTGCTTCGGGCCTTGTCCCGCCAAATTTTGAATGTCTCCAAGGATGGAGATTTCGCAGCCTCTGTGGGCAACCTGTTCCAATGTTTGACTAACCTCATGGTAAATTATTTTTTTGTATCAGTACAGAATTTCCCATGTTCCAACTTATTCTTCTTGCCTCTTATCCTTCCATTGTGTGCCTCTGAGAAGAGTAAGGCTTCATCTTCTCTGCAGTCTTCCTTTAGGTAGTTGTAGATAGTATCAAGATTCCCCCTTACCCTTGTCGAACAAAACCAATTCTCAAGCTCTTCTCAAAACGCCACGTGACATATCTTTTGGATTATAAATAAAGCACGAGAGGGTAAAATAAATATCAGAGATTTTTTAGTTTAGATGGACTTTATTATTATGCAGAGGTAAGAAAATCTTTCATGTCCATGAAATAAAAAAAGCCGCTTGGCAAACAGAGATTCCAGTAGTTGGGGAAGAGATGATATTTGTCTGTTGGAATACCAAGGGGTATTGTTTTTTCACCAAGGGGAGTGACAAGGACGTCTGCGCCCAGATATTTTTTAATGGGTCTAATGTCTGTAGACTGAAGTGGTAACATTCAGGTCAGTTCAGAAACACATGGATTTTTTTATTTTCATCTTTTGAAGTCATGGCACCAGTAAAGTAGTAGTATAGACAGAACCATGAGATGTAGTAAAATAACTTCTACCTGCCAAAAATGTAATTCATTTTTATATGTGTGTTTGTGGTGGAGGTAGATTTACAGGGTCTTGCTAAGTAATTAATTGAAAAAGTAATGTATTTAAGTAATAAGAAATTCATAGAATAGTGGTTGTGAGTTTTCTTCCTCACTGGCCCTGAAGTGAAAGAAAATACAATTGTTTGATGAGTTGTGATGACTCATAGTCCCTTCCTTTCTTAAAAATGAACTTAAAGTTCTCTGCTGTTTCCTATATCTTTAGATTTTCTTTCTGTACTTCTGAAATCTTGAAGTTCTGGAAATTCTGTGACTATATTTACATTTTCAATGCAATCTATCATTTTAGTTCACTTGTTTTGCTAAGAAAGGAAATGGAATGGTAATAGAGCCATATATCAACACTGTATGCAGCTTTGGCTGATATGCTGTAGACCAATTGTGAAATCTCTCTTCACAGACAGAATGCAGATTTTCCATTTCCTTTTTCCCATTAAGTAGCAATTGAAAACAAAAAGCATTAAAATCTCCCAGAATGTCAATTATTTCCTATGCTACAACCATTGACTTTGCTTGTAGTCTCTACGGAGTGCTTATGCAAGCAAGACAGTTCCATGTAATTATGTTTGTAGTCCTCCATTCTCTCTCCATTGTGTAAGTGGTTCCATCCGTTACAAAAGATTTGTCAAAAGAATGCTGGTGAAAATAAGAAATAATTTTCCTTGAGGAAGCTTATAGTTTGCTTGCAGGTCCCTTTTTGGGGGGCAGGTGTACCATAAGTAGGACAAGCCTCTAAGAGGACGTGGGAAGATACGGTGGATATGGGAAAAAGTGAGGCTTAGAAATGAAGTCTACTGTACAAGCAGTGCATAAGTAAAGTAAGCATGTCATTCTCTCAACTGTTTTTTGAAGGAAAATTACATCTCCTGGTGGGGATGATGTGGAAGTCATTTTGATATTTTTGCTGTGATGAGGCCTGTGATGTGGTCTGTTAGAATTCAGGTCATCAAATGCAATATGATAGTGGTCTTGTGTTGATTGAGATATAAATCAATATGAACAGATTCAAATGAAGCATACCCTAGGGCTCTGGAAAGAGGGTGGGAAGAAATGAAATTAAGTCAAAATATCACAGGTCAGTATTTGAAGGAATATTTTTTTCTGTAACAAATTAGTCTTCCAGCTTCTGACATTTGTCATATATTACTGTGATTTGGTGTTGTACTCTTTTAGTTCAATTATTGTAATTTACCAGTGTTGTTTTCTTTAGGTCATTTTTATCGTCTAGAAGGACAAAAGGATTACCTGCTTTGTGGCAATAGCTCCGATGCAGGGTAAGATGCACTGAAAATTGCACATTACCATTTATCTAAACAAAATATAGAAATTATTGTAATTTTAAAAAGCTAATTTACCTAACTTTGCTATCACCAGTCCGTCGCCCTTCATAGTAAGTTAACACTTGAACTACTAAAAATATTAATGAGAAATACTTTGATGTGAATGTCCTTTAAAAAGTCTTATGTAATCAGAAAATTTCATTTCAACTGGTAGATCTTGCATTGTGAATGACTTAAGAGCATACTGCTATATCAAAGCTTTCCTCCTATTTCTCATCTCTAAAATAGGCAAATCGGCTCTTCATTTTGCTTGGGGAGTTATGACAAACTTTTGGGAAAACCTTCAGGATTCTTCTCTTTATGAACTGCATGCATGGCTCTGTCTTGGTCTCTCTTTGTAACAGAATTCTTTGCAACAGAATCACAGGTTTCTAGATTCTAATGATATCCCAGTCTATGCATTGCTCTGCGATGCTTATGTCTTCAAAACAGATATATTTAATCCATTTTGTAAACATGTCATGTATAGATATAAGTATGTATCAGATAATTTTATGTATGTCTGCTAAGTCTATGTGTGCATAAGCATTCATATAATATACACACATACATATAAAAATCTTTATGGTGGCTTTCTGTGGAGGTTTTGAAGGACTGAACCTCTGCTAGCCTTCAGGAATGGAATCACAACAGAGACAGTCTGCCTACAGTTGATGTCAATATTGGGTCACCTACTATCAGAAGTGATACGTACAGTTTTAGGAGATAAAAGTATCGCTATGTCAGGTACTTCTTGTTTTGGAAGTGGTAGAATCTATTAATTCAACTTGACTAGTTCACAAACTGCCAAGAAAGCTGATATGCTGACAGATGAAATTCAGCATAAGATTGGACTAGGTCACATGCTAAAGTATCTGTATTCACTTTCTTTCTTACGTGGAAGTGTTCACCTTACGGAACCTCTGGGCTGAGTGAATATATTATTCCTACTAAAGAGGTATACGCGGATACAATTCAGACTGTGGGGAATAAGATTTATTGTGTACATAGTGGTGAAAAAAGGTTGGAGGAAAAATTTTTGTTTGTTTGTTTGCTCTCTTTTTTGACTTTTTTTCTTTGTTCATTTCCTCACTAATTTTTGAAACAGTATAAGCCACAAATGGCAGCCTCTTCACAAATTAGATCTAATGAGTTTCTATTAGAAAATCAAGATATAATAATTTAAAAACAATTTCAATGTTGCCACATTGCTTTGCATTTTTTTCCAGTAAATGTCCAGAAGAGTTTATCTGTGTAAAAGCTGGAAGAAACCCCAACTATGGGTATACTAGCTTTGACACGTTCAGTTGGGCTTTCTTGTCATTGTTTCGACTGATGACACAGGACTACTGGGAAAATCTTTATCAGCTGGTGAGTATGTAGCAAAAATTGTTTGTTGTCTTACTGGCCAAAAATCAAAATAAATGTGGAAAGGCCCTTTATATTAGCTACCGTTGGTATTGTTAACAATACAGATGATCTGTATTTCTCAAAGAAAGCAAGTTCAGTTACCAAACTGAACAGACACTTGGGCAGTTATTACAGAATCTCACGTGATTTCTGTAGAAGTGTGCAGGTTTTTCTGAACCTTTCTTTCATTCTTCAGCATGTGTTTCACTGAGTGCCCTATAACAAGATCTTCAAAAGCTTTAGTGCTGAGTTATAAAAAGGTCCTTGACAGCAAAATCTCAGTCTTAACTTTTGTACCTTGAATCCCATTTTTGGTAACTAAGAACACGTATCTTGGTACGTAGACTTTTCTTGTCAGTCTCTCATTATATGATATGTGAAAATCTGTAATAATAGTAACAGTTCACTTTTATATTATTATTATTGATTATACCATCTTTAATACTTCTGGTTAATCCGAGAGGAAGGCAGGCTAATACAATTTTTGGTACTGAAGAATCTAAACTGTGAAATAAGTGTGTTTTACATTAATTACTCTGACTCTATTTCCTTCTAAAGATTATTAGGCACTAAAATAGGTTCCTCTCAAAGCAGCAAGTTTCTTAAGCATGCATTTTCTCACTTAAATGCATGTTGCCTTTATTTTGATTGCATTGTAATTTAGAAAGCATGTATAATTTATTACAGAAGGAAGAACAAGTCCTACGTAATACAGTTGTGCACTTTTCAAATTCAGTAAATGCTTATCAGTTGAAGAATTGTTGCTTGTCTTCATTGACTGGATCATTTCTCTTCTTCTCCTCTAGACGTTACGAGCTGTTGGCAAAACATACATGCTATTTTTTGTTCTGGTGATTTTTCTGGGTTCCTTCTATCTGATTAACCTGACCTTAGCTGTGGTTGCCATGGCCTATGAAGAACAAAATCAAGCAACTATGGTTGAAGCAGAACAGAGGGAGGCAAACTTGCAGCAGATGCTTGAAGAGCTGAAAAAGCAGCAAGAGGAAGCGCAGGTATCTTTCCAATGAGAGTTCAAGCTTTAGTATATTTCTTTTTATGTTATTTGTTCAAAACAAAGCCAATAATTAGGTTATACATGCATTAGCAATAAAAACAGAAAGCAATCAGTATAGAGTACTTGTGAGATATGTACAAGAATGGCTCTGTCTTCTTTTGAAAAATATTAATGTCTAAAGTGTTAATGAATTTCAGAACTGAGAATAAAAATTACCCCCAAATTAGAAAAACAGATTTAAAATAAACATTTCTTAATTAGGTATAGTATTTAGTAATTTCTCATGCTGAATTTACCAAAGTCTTGGCTTAGAAATAATTGCAATACTGTGTTATAAATGCATTTTTAAATACTGATATTTCAGACCTTGATTAGGGTTTAAAATATTTTTGTCCATAAATTTCTAATTGCTTTATGCTACTTAAGTTATTTCCAGTGAATCAGAGACTGGAAATAGTAAGCATTAAGAGCAGCTCAAGGAAGCTTGAATATAGTAATAGCTAATACTAGTTTATAAAACTGAATTAATACAAACTGAAGTATAATGGCTTTTAGTTCTTTCATTTTCAGTTGTATTCATTCCAACTAATTGAGAGCTATTAATTTCCAGTTCTCTTCTAGTGAACTTTGTGAGAACATTGCATGCAGTACATTTACTCCATGATACAGACATAACCTAGGACACTATTAGAATGGCAGCTTTCACGAATGCCCTGTTGTTTCTTTCTTGGTATTCATAGCACACAATAATTTGCATAAACCCATCTAGGCTTTTGCAACATATATAAAAGTTGCTTGGAACAAATTTCAGAAACGAGGAAAACTGCTTTCTTAATACAGCTAAAATGGGTGTGATTGTAAAGCATCCGGTAGTTAAATATATGTTTGATATCACATTAAGAAATTGCTATGACAGGCTATTGCAGCAGCTGCAGCAGAGATGAGTAAATTTAGTGATGATGGTGGGACTGGTGGACCTTCAGATAGTTCTTCAGAAGCATCCAAGCTTAGCTCAAAAAGTGCCAAAGAAAGGAGAAATAGAAGGAAGAAAAGAAGACAGAGGGAGCTCTCTGGAGAAGAAGAAAACAGGAAAGATGAAAAGCTTCCAAAGTCTGAATCGGATGGCAGTATCAGAAGGAAAGGATTCCGTTTTTCTTTGGAAGGGAACAGACTTACGTATGGGAAGCAGTTGACGTCACCCCACCAGGTACTATGAACAGTAGTCGTTTTTTGAATTTGTAAGATAGTTGTAATATCCAACAAACTTCACTGGAACTTTGAAAAATATTACAGCCAAGGGAAAAAAATTTGCAATGTTTTAAATATATACTGCATCAGTCACTATCACTGGAATTATTTTCTGAAGTATACCTTTTCTCATGTTATCATTTGAGGTGTGGTGGATCTTAAGATGATGCACAGCAGCATTACATTTTCATAGTCCTTTTGAAATAAAAATTCTGAAATCCTTGAGTTTTCATTCCTTTTTAATTCATAAAAGGAAAATTCAGGTATAAAATATTGATGAGAAGAATAAGGGTATTAAATGTTTTTATACCTTTTTGACATAACTCATGACCTGCATGGGCCATTAGAATTTCTAGAAGTCTTGATTTTCTATCTAATACAAAGACAAAAACTAATAAGGCCTCATGCATGTCCCCTTTTTTTCCCTTCAATAATTATTTTTATAAATTTACCTGATGACTGCCATCTCTAGTGTACATATGAACTCTGCCTGAGGCACTGAATTAAAACACAGCAGAAAGATTCCTAGGGAATGTAAATGATATTTTTATAAGTAGACGTGCATTTTGTATATTTTGAATCTTAAATAAAAATCTTAAAGTCACTTTCTTTGTTTCCCTTATAGTCTTTACTGAGTGTTCGTGGCTCCCTGTTTTCTCCCAGACGTAGTAGCAGAACAAGTCTTTTCAGTTTTAGAGATCGTGGAAGAGAGGTAGGATCTGAAAACGATTTTGCTGATGATGAGCATAGCACATTCGAAGATACTGGAAGCAGAAGAGGTTCTCTCTTTGTGCCGCGCAGACACAGTGAACGGCGCGGTAGTAACATTAGCCAGACCAGTAGAACATCAAGAAAGCTGCCAATGTTTCCAGTGAATGGGAAGATGCATAGCACTGTGGATTGCAATGGGGTGGTTTCCTTAGCAGACGGACCACCATGTCTCTTGTCACCTACTGGACAACTTCTGCCAGAGGTGGTAATAGATAAACCAACAACTGATGACAATGTAAGAAAGTTTTAAATTACTCCAGGCTTCATGACACTTACTTATTGTACCAGACAGTATTTTTACAAAACAGAATGCTTTGAGAACGGCTGAGAAGTTATGAATGCTTCTGTATCTTGAATTACCTTTTAACATAATGAAATAAGTTTACAATAATTCTGTAGTATTTGGTACATGTATGTGAAAAAACATTCCAAAATGAGAGGATGGAGCATGAAAATAAATGAGACCAAAGTACATATTTTATATATCTGCCTAGTTAGGATATGCATGCACCTCCATACTGAATAAAATAGTAATGTTCCATTGCTGAATCTGTTTTAGAACCCAAAATAGGATGATCAGCTTTCTAAACATTCTTTCCGTTATTTCGGTTATTTGTTAGTTATCTCTGTTACTCTGATTTTTACCTTATGTTTCGGCCTCCCTGTAACTGGATTTCCTAATTCTCTGTCAGTAATCTGCTGGGTTTTGCATTCCTTCCCATGTATTTAGTATTGTGCAACTGTGCAAAAATAACCTTTAAGATCATGTTGACATTCTAGAAGCTCTGAAAGCACTTTTCCTGTGCCTCAGAGGTGGTCTAATTTCCCATTGCTAAGGGTCAGAGTATAATAATAATTTTAAAAAGCACATTCAAATTTATCTCTTTCTCCCTCTGTTCAGTCTTCCTTTTCCCTCAGTCCATTTTTATGAATGGGACAGAGGAATCTGTTGTACAATTTGACTTAGAAACCTTCTGTTACTGAAGCAAAAAACTTTATGCAGGTCACAGCATCTGAAAGCACATTGGCCATATTCCTTAGAGTTATAATCTCCTTGCAGTATATTATCCTTTCGTTTTTGTAATTTACTTAATTTTCTGAAAAAAATTACACCCATGCTCATATATTCAAAACTTCATAACTAAGATGATATAGCTATAATACAGCTCTGTAATTTCAAGGTCATTTAGTAAAAACATAGTTAAAAATAAGTTGACGTTTCTGGAGTCAGTTAAGTCAGACTTCTCTTATTTAAGTCTGAACCCAAAAAATAAATAATAGCTGTTCATTGTAAAATTTAAATCAGATCAGTTGAGTGAGTATAGAGATCAAGACCGACCTATAACAATTTTATTTAGAGAATAACTACTATTGCTGAAAATTTCCTATCATAAATTACTTATGAGTATCCTGTGATTTAAACTAGTTTGGAAGTGAAGTATAGCTAGAGAAGGCACTAAGCATGGAAATGTGAATTATGATTTTTTTTTTTTTTTATTTCAGCGCTACAACAGTCTTGATTTCCTACCTGGGCAATGTCGTTCTACCTCTTCCAAAATTTCCTTGTGTCTAATACGGAGTTAATAGTAGTTAACTATAATGCAGTGATAATCTGGAAGTTAATTATCAAATACTTTTTTTAATGCTTCAGAAGTATTCAGAGAAATGCTTCAGAGTATGCAGAAGTCTAACATGACAATAACAGATTAAAAAAAATACTTGGTTTATGTTATAATGGAAAAAATCTGATGTAATAGACGACATAAATACAAAGCTGCTTGTGTTACGAATAACTTTGAAACGAAAAAGGTGTGTAGTGCCTTTATGTTTCGCAGTATTTGTCAAGTTGAATTTAATTAATCCCCCCTTCTTTTTTTTCATAGAGCACTACTACAGAAATAGAAATAAAAAAGAGGCGTTCAAGTTCATATCAAATACCAATGGATTTGCTGGATGATCCAAATTTAAGGCAAAGAGCCATGAGTATAGCCAGCGTAATCACAAATACAATGGAAGGTATGTTGCACTTACAGATGTGTCTGCCTAAGACATAATCTAAGATTTGCTTGAAGGTATTATGTTCATGATGCATGTACAGAAGACAAAAAAAAAAAAGTAGCTATTGCAAATACATAGGCTGAATGATGGAACAAAAATACATGAGCATAGTGAAAAAAGACATGAAAGAGCCTGATAAGCAGACTAATCCGAGAGGTATGTTCTCATTAAAATAGATAAAGGTGTATGTGTTTTATACTATCTATTCATGTTTAGCTGTCCAGTTGTTGAAAGAATCGCCTTTCCTTATGATGCTAGTATAAGCTTTCCATTAGCCATACTATAAAAATGTTCCGTAACAAAAGAGGAAAGGCCTTAGTTAACAGAGAGAAGGAAATTAATGGTAGGGTTATTTTGGAAGAGTGAAATTATTACTAGTGCAATTCTTGATAAAACTTGATAAGTTGTCAAAAACCTATTCTTAGTGAAGTTAATCTTACTTTTCTTGCAAATTAATCATACATTTGAGCAGACTGTGGAGCTGGAAGCTCTACTGAGAAAAATAACCCTAAATGTAAGGAGATTTATTTTGTTTGAAAACAAGATCATACAATAGTATAAATAGACAACTTTTTCAACTGTTAGCCATAAACTCTTGAGTTTTTCCTTCTAGTCTTATCAACTCTTGTCAGGCAACAACAATCATCAAATTCTAAGAAGGTTCTTCCAAACTACTTTAGAGGTTTTTTCTCAAATACTTAAATATGGTCCATAGATCACTATTTCCTGACTGTGGTGTTTTATTGACTAGATAGTTGATTCAACTATTCATTCAAACGTTCCCATCAAGTCTGTATTAGAAGTTTTGATTAAATAATCAAATACACTTCTTTTTTTGTTGTTTTAAACTCAGCTTACAAATTTCGTTTTGTAGTTTAAATGTTTTTTTGTTGGTTTGGGTTGTTTTTGACCCAGGGACAGACATTAAAACCTGAAAAATCAGACTAAGTAAAAATTTATCTTCACTTTATTATCATCTTGTTCACTATGCATTTCTGTTTTGTCCAGAACTTGAAGAATCTAGGAAAAAATGTCCACCCTTCTGGTATAAGTTTGCCAACACTTTCTTGATTTGGAATTGTTGGGAGCCTTGGTTAAAAGTAAAGCATATAGTTAATTTCATTGTAATGGATCCATTTGTTGAGCTGGCTGTTACTGTTTGCATAATTTTAAACACGCTGTTTATGGCCATGGAACATTATCCAATGACTGAAAACTTCAGTAATTTGCTTAAAATAGGAAATCAGGTAAGTCCATCAAACTACTATCATTTGATACAAGAGTATAGTTTCTATTGGAAATATAATTAATTTTTATATATTAAGGGTGTTGCTTTGATTGATTTTTTTTTTTTCACCGTAGCTATGTGAAAGGCAAAGAACTTGTTAATTTTACTGAGAGTGCCTGTTGATACAGTTGGCTTTTGTTCCCGAAGAATCACAGTCGGTTTTTTATTTTATAATGACAATAATACTCATAATGCTATCTTCTACACTTCTACCCTGTGCTTATTGTAAGTGGTAATTCTAGTGATTCTGCTATAGCAAAAAAACCAAAACAATTCATTTCTTAAAGTATATGAAATTCTAGTTACACGTAGGAAATATATCCAGCTTTAAGTCTAGAGACATTGTAGTGTCAACACTTAAATTGTGTTCTGATACTTTTAGGTAATGTAGACACAGTTCAATCTTTTTGCTTTTATTTGGAGTCAGAGGTCATTTTTTGTGGAAAATAGTCATGTTAAGTCATGTTGCTGCTTAAAATGATGGTTAAATCCTTAAAGATGATTAAGGGCATCTCTCATATGAGAAGTGGCTGAGAGAGCTGTGACTCAGTCTGGAGAAAAGAAGGCTCTGGGTGATTTTGTCAGTGTTCACAAATATCTGGTAGGACGTTGTAAAGATGACAGGGCCACACTCTTCTCGGTGGTGCCCAGTGACAGGACGAGAGGCAGTGGGCACAAACTGAAACAGAGGAAATTGCACTTGAACACAAGAAAGCACTTCTTCACTGTGAGCATGGTCAAACACTGGAACAGGTTGCTCAGAGAGGTTGTTGAGTCTCCGTCCTTGGAGATATTCAAAACCTGACTGCTCCATCCTGGGCAACCAGCTCTACCTGACCCTGCTTGCGTAGTTGGTTGGACCAGACGATCTCCAGAGGTCCCTTCCAACCCCAATTATTCTGTGCTTCTGTGAAAACAGACTCAGGGTGGATTTGAGGAGCAAGATAGGACCAACAACTGCTGCAGAGGGTTGTCTTGTGATTATGGCTGTACCTTGTACACAGAAAAAGCACCATATTTGGATTTGATAAGCAATAGAATACCTTAATATTAATCTAATTTTTATCTGTGTAGATATAGGTGCTCCCTCATGCTAATAAGAACAACAAATTCAGGATCAGCTTAAACTTTGGTACAGTACTGGTGTACTATTTCAGCAGTTGCTTTCTTGCTTTTTGAACTGTGTGGCACTATCTGTAAAAAGCCTGTCAAAAGCTCCTGTATTTTTTTCAAGCTTGTTCGTCTTTCTAGTCAGAATGACTAGAATTATATATGAAATTATAATGAATATCTTTTAGTGTTCTCTTTTGTGTCAGAAATTCTGTTACACTTAGAAACACTACTCTTAAAATAGTTATGTATTTCAGTAACTCTTGAAGTTAGATCCATGTTACCATGTTTTTGTGACACAATCAATGTGGTAGTTTTAATTCGTATTTGAATGTTGTTCTTTGAGTGATTAGCTGTGTAAATCCCATCAGTGTTGAGAATGCCTCTCGTGCGCCAGATGACCTTTTCCACTTCTCTTTTTCCTTACACTTTTTTCCTTCAACTCCACAACTTCAGTGATGGGGCAGGTCCACTTGTCACTCAGAGCACATCATGGAGACACAGAAAAGTTGTTAAGTTAATGATAATTTATGTTGTTAAATACATATCTGTGGGCATACATCTACAGTAAATACAGTGAATTTACTCCCTTTCCAGAGGCGCTCTTTTTTTTTTTTTTTCTTTTGGCCTTTTGCTTCATTTGACCCTGTCAGAGACAGAAAGGAGTTCTGCTTCAAACATGAACCTAAGCAGAATTAGCCTATCTGGGCAGCTAGCAAGAAGAAACATGCTTACTGTTTCTGTGTTCTCAGGAAGACTTCATTTAACAGCAAATCTCCATATTACCCTCTAGTTTGTGATCAATTCATTATTTCCCACGCTGCTTTGTTAAAGCAGCTTCCCTTGTGTCAAGAAAAACTGTTATTATCTTGCTTTAATTTCTTTAATTTTGCAGGGCAGATATAGGGAGCAAATAGGAGGCTTGTTAGGAATAGTTTACTCCTTACTAGTCACTAAATGTATCTCAAGTTTAAATAAAATATTAGTAAAGATACACCAAAGTTAATTTTGCTTATCTTTTCTGTGAAGTTCAGCTTGTGGTAGTTTTCCTTACTGATATCGTGCTGTAAGAGGGTTATCACATGTTACTTAAGTTGTTCCTTGTCTTCTGGTACAACTTATTCACACTCATCTACAAAGTAATAATAAACAACATTCTTCCTTTAGGTTTTTACTGGAATTTTTGCAGCAGAAATGATTCTCAAGATAATTGCCATGGATCCTTTTTATTATTTCCAAGTTGGCTGGAATATTTTTGATAGTTTTATAGTCACCCTTAGTTTGGTGGAGCTTTTTCTTTCCAATGTGGATGGATTATCCGTTCTCCGATCATTCAGATTGGTAAATAAATTAATGATGATAATGTCTGCTAATGCACTGTGTTTGTATTTTAACAAATATAATCGTATACTGCTGAAATTAACACTTTTTAGTTGCACAATACATGTAACCTTTCTTAAGTGTTACAGGATATCTCTCCTGCAAGCAGGACTTTC